TGTTTAAACTGCTGTATTTTTTAAAGTGTGCGACTTAAAGCGAAACGAAATTCAGTTCACACATCTATAAACGATTCTTAATAAGACTGCTGATTTAGATTTGCGTTATTTTCAATTTGAAAAAATTTATTTTTGACAGTTTTGTTTAAACTGCTGTATTTTTTAAAGTGTGCGACTTAAAGCGAAACGAAATTCAGTTCACACATCTATAAACGATTCTTAATAAGACTGCTGATTTAGATTTGCGTTATTTTCAATTTGAAAAAATTTATTTTGACAGTTTTGTTTAAACTGCTGTATTTTTTAAAGTGTGCGACTTAAAGCGAAACGAAATTCAGTTCACACATCTATAAACGATTCTTAATAAGACTGCTGATTTGATTTGCGTTATTTTCAATTTGAAAAAATTATTTTTGACAGTTTTGTTTAAACTGCTGTATTTTTTAAAGTGTGCGACTTAAAGCGAAACGAAATTCAGTTCACATATCTATAAACGATTCTTAATAAGACTGCTGATTTGGATTTGCGTTATTTTCAATTTGAAAAAATTTATTTTTGACAGTTTTGTTTAAACTGCTGTATTTTTAAAAGTGTGCGACTTAAAGCGAAACGAAATTCAGTTCACACATCTATAAACGATTCTTAATAAGACTGCTGATTTAGATTTGCGTTATTTTCAATTTGAAAAAATTTATTTTTGACAGTTTTGTTTAAACTGCTGTATTTTTTAAAGTGTGCGACTTAAAGCGAAACGAAATTCAGTTCACATATCTATAAACGATTCTTAATAAGACTGCTGATTTAGATTTGCGTTATTTTCAATTTGAAAAAATTTATTTCTGACAGTTTTGTTTAAACTGCTGTATTTTTTAAAGTGTGCGACTTAAAGCGAAACGAAATTCAGTTCACATATCTATAAACGATTCTTAATAAGACTGCTGATTTGGATTTGCGTTATTTTAAATTTGGGGAAAAATTTATTTCTGACAGTTTTGTTTAAATTGCTGTATTTATTAAAGTGTGCGACTTAAAGCGAAACGAATTTCAGTTCACACATCTATAAACGATTCTTAATAAGACTGCTGATTTAGATTTGCGTTATTTTCAATTTGAAAAAATTTATTTTTGTCAGTTTTGTTTAAACTGCTGTATTTTTTAAAGTGTGCGACTTAAAGCGAAACGAAATTCAGTTCACACATCTATAAACGATTCTTAATAAGACTGCTGATTTAGATTTGCGTTATTTTCAATTTGAAAAAATTTATTTTTGACAGTTTTGTTTAAACTGCTGTATTTTTTAAAGTGTGCGACTTAAAGCGAATTCAGTTCACACATCTATAAACGATTCTTAATAAGACTGCTGATTTGGATTTGCGTTATTTTCAATTTGAAAAAATTTATTTTTGACAGTTTTGTTTAAACTGCTGTATTTTTTAAAGTGTGCGACTTAAAGCGAAACGAAATTCAGTTCACATATCTATAAACGATTCTTAATAAGACTGCTGATTTAGATTTGCGTTATTTTCAATTTGAAAAAATTTATTTTTGACAGTTTTGTTTAAACTGCTGTATTTTTTAAAGTGTGCGACTTAAAGCGAAACGAAATTCAGTTCACATATCTATAAACGATTCTTAATAAGACTGCTGATTTGGATTTGCGTTATTTTCAATTTGAAAAAATTTATTTCTGACAGTTTTGTTTAAACTGCTGTATTTTTTAAAGTGTGCGACTTAAAGCGAAACGAAATTCAGTTCACATATCTATAAACGATTCTTAATAAGACTGCTGATTTGATTTGCGTTATTTTCAATTTGAAAAAATTTATTTTTGACAGTTTTGTTTAAACTGCTGTATTTTATAAAGTGTGCGATTTAAAGCGAAACGAATTTCAGTTCACACATCTATAAACGATTCTTAATAAGACTGCTGATTTAGATTTGCGTTATTTTCAATTTGAAAAAATTTATTTTTGTCAGTTTTGTTTAAACTGCTGTATTTTTTAAAGTGTGCGACTTAAAGCGAAACGAAATTCAGTTCACATATCTATAAACGATTCTTAATAAGACTGCTGATTTGGATTCGCGTTATTTTCAATTTGAAAAAATTCATTTTTGACAGTTTTGTTTAAACTGCTGTATCTTATAAAGTGTGCGATTTAAAGCGAAACGAATTTCAGTTCACACATCTATAAACGATTCTTAATAAAACTGCTGTTTTAGATTTGCGTTATTTTCAATTTGGGGAAAAACTTGAACTTTTGATTTTTTTCTAGACGACGCGAGCGATCGACGTACTATCATTTTCGGTATTAAAAAAATTAATTCCTCATAGTCAGCTGTCAGATTAACATTAATATATATTAAAAACACATTTTCAAGTGCGTTCAAGGTCTTTAAGCGAAGATAGATCGATTTCGATGTTGAAGCGAAAAATTTAAAATATGACAAGCTTGAAGATATGTCAAATATACATGCTCAGTCGTGTTTAGTATCGATTTTTATTGTTTAGAACATTTTTAATTAAAAAATATATTAATGGAAAAAACAGAATTCGAAAATCTTGCAATATGATGAGAATGAACTTTGACAGTTTTGTTTAATCTACTGTATTTCTTAAAGCGTACAACTACAAGCGAAACAAAAATCACTTTCTACAATTAGAAACGATATTAAATAATACTGCGTATTCGTATTTGCTTTACTTTAAAGTTGGGTCACAATTTTAAATTTCGATTTTTACATTGACGAGGCTTGCGATCGAAATGCTGTCGTTTTCCGCATTAAAAAATTAATTCCTTAAATTCTGGTGCTACATTTACGTTAATATATTAAAGACACATTTTCAAGTGCGAATAAAAATCTTTGAGCGAAGATAGATCAATGTCGATTTCGAAGCTAAAAATTTAAAAAGTGGCCAACTTTAAGAAATGTTAAATTCACATGCTCAGCTGTATTTAGAATCGATTCTTATTGTTTATAACATTCCCCATCGAAAAATATTTATGGAAAAAGCAGAATTTTAAAATCTTGAAATTTGAAGCGAATCAACTTTGACAGTTTTCTTTAAACTATACTGTATTTTCTAAAGCGTACAATTCAGGAATCGATGTTTCTCTTACACTACTGTTGTACGTTGTAATCTAGTCAAGTCTATAAACATCTTCGTTTTCGTACAACCTATTAAGTTTAAATAAATCAATAACTATTCAATAACGTTATAGGATTAAAATTATTCGATTTTAAATCATCATGTGTCTATCGGGTCTAATAAAATAGAAACACACTTTACAAATTTTAACCATCACATTATGACTACGTTGGAGGAATATCGCTTTTTCATTTTACTTATTTTCTTTACTTTTTTACCATAATACTTACCATAATACTATATTTTAAAGCGTCACAAAAATCATGCAATAATTACGATGAAATGAGTATCAAACTCCATAGTTTTGAAAAAAAATTATATCTTCGAAAACATGCGATTTAATAGAAAAGTAGTTAAAACTTAAGAAACCGCACGCTCATTACTCATGCTGTCATTTCTGTATTAAGGATGAATTGATGAAATACTCTCAGATATCTGTATTAAGTATAAATTTATGAAATACTCTCATATAAACATATAAACATAAACAGTATTTGATGCTATTATTCTAATTTTCTACTATTTAAATTATAAGACAGTCTGTAATTGTTACGATCTTACCCAGCGAGAAATGACGTCGTATCGATGTCAAAATGATTGAATCGACATTGATTCGACGTCGATTCGGCCATCATTTCTCTGAGTTCTTATTGCTTACTGCTTATTTTACTAATTAAGTAGTCCTTTGCGCTATGACTTTAAACCAAATTATCTGAACATTATTGTAAATAATTTTGTATAAAGATAACACTTTTTTCATGCAAGATGCAGATATAGGTATGCATATTTTTATTATATCTCCATAAAGATAAGACGACGCCATAATTTTATCTAGGTCATCTATATATAATATTATTTAGATAACAGCAAATGTGTTATTTATGTAGTATTGAATTATTAAATAATTAAAGGTATTAAAAATTTGATATTGAATTTTTAGTTGAAATTTGGTTGAAATTTCCAATTTGTTTGGAAAAAATAATCTTTTATGAGTGCATCACGTTGCAATCCCAAGATTCAATTATTTATCTTTTCTTTAATTTATCTTCTTCAATTATTTATCTTTTCAAATCGCATATATATATACATTTTCGTAATGTACAAATGAAGAGGAAAAATTAACAACCTTGACATTACAGATGTCAATAAGATGTATAGGCTAATGAGAATGAGTCTTATTGTTTGACGTTACAAATATTCGAGTCATATAACAAGTAGTATGTATTGAACATATTTGTTAGATTATAAATTTTTTAATTAACTATTTGCTTAAGTAAATTTAGTTTTAATGTATAAATATAAAATCATTTAATTTCGTAATAAATTTTTCAATTTAGAATTAAAATTACAATATTTGTCATCTATTTAAAACTTAAATATAATAAAATTTTTAAAAAAATATATATTTAGTAGTCTGACACAAATCTGTGTAGATTCTCGGACATTTTTACTCACACAATTAAGATATTAAATATTGGGTAAGGGAATTAATAATTTCTAATGTAATATTTAGAACATACACTTTTTACTTCCTAATTAAAAAATAATGAGATGTAAAAATATATTATACACTGTCATACATATTTATTATATCTATTTCTATCCTTATTTTAGCAATATCTTTTTTTTTCTTTCATTTGTTTATTCAAAATTATATAATATCAAAATGTATATACGTGTATATTCATTTTCAATTAGAATAAATAATGTACATATAAATACAGAAAATCTTTTATCTATATCAAATATAAAATAGAGGGCTAATTAAAAGTTTGGCATAATAAATGATTAAAAAAATTTAATAACATTAAAATTTTGATATTAAAAATTTTAATAAAAAAAGTTTATGGTTTATTAAATTATTAACATTTTCAAGAAAAAAGATTTTTGGGCAATTATTTACCGCGACAGAATTAATTAGCGTTTTATTTTATTGTTGATATAAACTTTATATGTGTGTATATATATATATATATGTAATAATTTTCTGTAAAGTACTCTATAGAAAATGTTCGCTTTATATCATGTATGTTGTCGATTTGTTTTACAATTAGATGTCTCGTTTTCATCATTCAAATCATCATGATCATCCATATCACTGCTGTCTTTGGTACTCAAAATATCATCATCATCTATATTATGATTAACTTCGATATTCAAAGAGTCATTGATACTTTTTACAGTATTATCATTAGCGTTTTCTGCAACATGTTCCTTTTCTGAAGAAAGCAAAGATTGTTGCTTCTCTTTGTGTTCATTATTCCAAATGCCGTCGCCTGTGAAATGAGTATCCTTTTCCAGGATATACAGACATAATGCAAGATACTGGCTATTTGTAAATGAATACTCTGTACTCTGAGAATAACGTCGCCTCAAATCTGCTAGTACTTTCTCCACCTTGCACCTGAAAATAACAAATCTTCGGTTCATCTTAATAATTTTTTTAAACATGTACAGGTTCCATAGGAAATTGCTAAAATTAATCAGTTGTCATTGTTTAATGCATACAATTATATATTAAGAAAACAAAAATTGTGTTGAAAAGAGAAAAGTCTATAGTTTTTAATGGATATAAATCAAATATCAGTTTATTTATTGAAAAAAATAATGAAAAAAGTGCTAATAATCACATATGTAAACTAATGATAAATATTTTCAAAGTGTGCACCATTTTAATTTGTACAAAATTCTGTTCTTTTACGAAAACTCGTAAAAACTTTTTCTAACATGTCATTTTTTTTATGTTATTGACGATCCTTTTAATAGCTGTAATTATCTGGTACTGTTGAAGATATTTATCATTAGTTTATGTGATTTTATGTGATTATTACCACTTTTTTCATTACTTTTTTTCAATAAAATAAACAGATATACAAATATTTTATTCATATTTATTAAAAATTGTAGACTTTCTTTTTTTCCAACACAACTTTTGTTTTCTCAATAACTACATGCATTAAAAATGACAGCTGATTAGTTTCAGCAATTTCCTATGGGACATTCTGTAAATAACAGCAGCCATTACTGTGAATAAAGTATGACGTGTATATTCTGGCATATCTCGTTTATCGTAAAGTGCGTTTTCAGATATTTAAACATTTGCTCGATATCAGCAAACCCGACCGTTTTCCAGTGCGGATGTCTCGCTAGTAGGTCCTTCTTATCCACTCCCAATTCTTGCATAAATATATGTTTCAGAGCTTTTTTTGATAGAACTGTGCTGGCGCCAGTATGTAAAAACCTAGAATAAAATTAACAAAGTAAAAATATATAAGTAGGGTGTCCCATTTTAATCATACATCCCCAAAAGCTTTTTTATTTTTGATTGTACGACAAAATGTTTTAAATAAAAGTTATTTGGCTTAAAGGAGAAAAAAGATAGCATTTATATAAAAAATATATAATAGTTCAATTTTTAAAAAACAAATGACCTTTATATACAATTGAAAAACCTTTTTCTAAAAATCGCTTTTCAAAATAATTTTTTTATATATAAACGGATTCTCGCAATTTTCGGCATAAAAATTTACAAGGATAAGATGACTAAAAAAATGAATAGTTTACGAAATATGTCATTTAAATTGATATAATTTTACATAAACTATAAAATATTCATTTTTTCAACGATTTTGCTTCAATACTTTTATGCATAAAATAATGATAGGAATCAATTGGTACAAAAAAACCATGATTGTAAGAAAAAATGTTGCAGTTATAAACAAACTATATATATAGGAAATATCAATTTTGCTGGTATTTTAACTATACGTGTATGTGAATTGTAACTTTTCACCTTTCCAAATCGTTTGAAGTGGACAAGACTGTATGGGGACGAACCCATTTCGAGCGATTTATGATGTTGAGATAACCTACGCGATCCTTTGCCTTATCCTTGTGAAAGATAATCCGTAGGACTCGAGGATGTTTGCACCACACGTGCAAATCCGGATGTCGCTTTATCGTCTCCATCTGCTCCAGGAAAGTGTCGTCGCCGATTTGAAAAATCTTCATATATTTCTGTACATATTCATCCGGTATGTCGTATCGTTTGAATGACATTAGTAATCGCTTAATATTATCAGAATCCTCAAAAAGTATGCGGGGATATTTCCTTAAAAGCGTCACGATCGGTATTCCACAAATGTCTGTGAATGTATTCAGCAGCAACTTGATGTTGTCAGCCGGAGCAGTAATGACAAAAGGATTCTTTTTTATCTGTGTGCAAACGCAACAGAGATTTTTATAAAGATATTTATATATAATCATATAATATAATGATAATCATATATATATAATTATAAAATCAGTATAAATTAAAAAGATTTATAAATTGAATGAAATTCTGAGGATTTAGAAAATCAAACTGAATCAAAGGACTTGAAAAAAAATTTGTATCTGGTTTCTATTATTTCAATTTAATTTGTAAAATTTATTTATGAAAAATAAAATTAATTTGAAAAAGAGTACAGACTTACCAGGTCTTCATTGTAATCGAGATTAATTCTGAGTATTTTTAATGTTTCCGCAATCATGCTTATACTCTTAAATTTCATATACTTGTGCAACAATATCTTGTCATCTAAATATGGCAGATCAAATACTCGAGTTTTGCAGTGTAAGAGGCATGCTTGGTAGTATTGATTGACTGTCAAACTGTTGCTTGATGATTCCAATTTGGAAATGTCACTTGGAACTTCTCGACCCAGTCTGTCAAATATATTCTTTGCAATGTTTTGTTCGACTGGAATATTGACCTTCTCTTTGAACATAGGTATGTGTTTGCGGAAAAGATAAACCATCCTAAAAATTACAAAGAATTATTGGAACATTTATACACTTAACAGAATATGATTGATCTGTAATTAAACTTACTTGCCCACTAGAGACGAGTTCAAATCGGGCACTCCAATGTCCTTCAGCATATTGATTCTATGTTCTAATTTGTAATTTCTTAATATCAGACAATATCCAAAGTTCAGCAGAGGACTCGCTTTGACATCATATTTCTGAAATGTGAATAAGAAATACTGTGTTTAATAAAAAATAAGTGGAGAAACATCATTCCTATTTTAAACAAAATTTTACTTTGAAAATTGCAAAAAAGAAATTTTTCACATTATTTTTTCCTCTTTACATAAACATGTTAATTTCCCAGGTAGCAGACTAACGTCATTAAACGTCATTTTTTTATTTTGACGTTTAATAACATCCATCTGCTATTGGATCATTTATTTCAACAATTAACTGCAATTTTAAAATTTTCTGCTGTTTTCTTAATTCTAGAATTAAACAGAAAAAGTAAAATTATTAAAAATTAATTTTAAAAAATATAATTAATTTGTAATTATTTTAAAATATCTATTTCAGAAGTTTCATGAAAAAAATATACTTTTGTACACACACACCTGACATATCAAGCAGTTATTTATTAACCGATGACGGGGAAAATTAAGGATAGTTTTGTTCATATCAATAAACTCCTCGACATCGGCGGAATTTAAGCCCAGATTTGTTGTGAGAATCTTTTGAAACTCCTTTCTTTTCCAAAAATACGACATCGACGTTCTGGACGAACCTCTTTTACCGAACCTCATTGTTGTAAAATTTATTGTGCGATACACGCAATATATTTTTTACAATTTCAATCAATTTTTTTATCAATAAAACAATTGTTTCCGGATTACACCAATTTTCATTCATTTCGGTAAACCATAATAGAAATAGAAATTGCAGGACTTTGTTAGGTTATAAATTTGTTCTTTATTGCTGTACTACTGTACTGGGCTGCGTTCGGAAACGTGACTGACATAGGAGTGATATAGAAAGAGAGAGAATGTACTCAGAGGACGTTTCCGAACGCAGCCCTGGTGAACTAGTGCCAGTGTTCCCAGGTCCCAAGAGGGCGCTTATATGTATATAACAGAGAGAAGAATCTCTGTATATAATATCATGGTGGAAAGAAAGTACTTTCTTTCCATCATGTATAATATATGTGCAGAGATTTCTGATATTGGCATCAATACAATCAGATACAATCCTCTATTATTTTTATATTAGAGATAATCTATAAGTAATAAATCGTAATCAATAATTATTATTAAATTTATTTTAAATGTAATTTATTTTTTTAATATATCTTTATATATATATATATATATATATATATATATATATAATATCCCTAATAGCGCGACATATCCGTATGATATTTGAGGCTATCCAGAGGACATTCGAACATCCTCAGGATATGTTCTCTGAACGTCTTCAGAATATGTATGCTGTTAGGATAGAACACGTTTATCACATTATTTTTATCACAAAAATTGCAAAATATTATAATTAGTTTTATTATATTGTAATTACCAAAAAATATATTTATATAAAATCAAAATTTCTCTGTTGCTATTATAAATTTTGAAAGAATTAATAAACAAAATTTAAATTTAATATATATGTTTTTGTGAATTTAACTTCTGATTTAACTTCAGTAAATTTAACTTAAATTAAATCTAATTTTCTTTTTTTGTTCATGTACTTTTATTTAACTAAATTAATAACTATATGTAATTAACTCACCCAACCCTGATTTTTTCTAATCTGTGATCGAGTCTTATAAATATATAATAAAAATAAATAATAATAATAAACATGCATTATATATATTATATAATAACAATCGTGTTACAAATTAATACATCGTAAATATCAATGATTATTTTTTTTATAAAAATATGTATAAACAAATCCTGCGCATGAATAAAGCATCGCATCAGCTGATCTCAGCAATATATATTTTGCTATAATAAAAAGATATCTCTTTAGACAAGAAATATATAGGAATTGTTAAGAGAAATATGAAAATTTCTATTAAATCTTATTTTTGATTTTTTTAAATCTTTATTCAGAAATTCTGGTCTTAAAACTAAGATACGTAAAACCTTATATTTTATAGCCCGTGAAACATTTAAATATTTTTAAATTCTGGAGTCATAAAATACGCTCTTTTTAAACTTAAATTATCTTGTAAAATGAATAAAATATCTTTAGAGAACAACTACTAAAATTCAAATTATACGGAAATACTGATAAATCATGCGAAAAAATTCAAACATATATTCCTATTTTTTAAAATAATTTTTAAATGATTTTTAATAATTTTTTAAGTTACTAAAAAAATTATAAACCTCAAATTCCGATTAATTTATCAAATAATATCCGCAATATTTTATTAATAAACCGAAATATTAATGTTATATATTAAAATATTAATTTTATGTTATTTGGAACACATATGGAAAGGAAGATTAGATTATATAAGGAATGGCAAATTATATAATTAAAACATAAAAGAAACTCCCATTTGAATTAATCGACGATTAATTAAGCCGAAATCCTGAATCTAGAATAAGAGAGATACTATTTATACCTAAATTTAAAATTGTTTCTTGTTAACTTGAATAAATTAAAATCGAGATGTAGTTAAGAGAGACCTCTTTTATTTATTTTACTCGTTTCATCTATATTATCCTTCTATTCCATCTAATTTACATTTCCTTACGCTTTTTTTGTCGCTGTTTCATATAGTATCTCACACTGTTTCCCGCTCTTTTGATAAATTTTTCGTGAACTTTTGATGAATTTTTTCAACTTTTTGAAGCCGAGTGGCTTTGACGTTTCACTATCATCGATAGCAATACAACGATATTGATATACTATTGTATTTACAATTGCATTTACACAAAATACCTACAATCCTTGTTATTATGATTGTATGTGTGTATTTACATTAAAATCGCGATATAGTTTAACTTTATAACTGCAATACAATCGAAAATTCTATTTATTGTATGTGCGCAATACATATACAAAAAGGGTTGGAAATCCTTAATTTTACAAAAACTACGTGTTTTTGAAAAAAATTATAGAATTAAAGAAGATTTTTTACTAAGTTTATCACAGTTTATGTTGCCAAAATTGGAATAAGATTTTGAATTTTTTAAATAGATCCACTGTACTTTTTTATATAAAATTCCTCTGCTATAGTTATAATTTATATTATATACCTATTCTTCGTTTTTTTTTTTTACATCAATTATTTTCTCTTATTTTGTAAAAGAATATTGAGATCATTAAAAAATAAATTAATATTTTATAAGATATTTCATAGTTTACGTGATTATGTTAAATTAAAGTATGAAATATCTCGACACAATCCTTATAAGTTTTTATGCCAAATATTACAAGGCATCGATTTACATAAAATAGGATGATTTCCATCTTAAATTTCAAGATGACCTTGTCTCGACATTGACAGCGTCGCCCAAAGTCAAAGTAAGGTTTTAGCCTTGCGTTAAAAGAAAAAAATTGAAATAAGCTTCGTAAAATAGACTTTACAACTCTACAACTTTTTTATCTCTTTTTTTTTGAATGCGCAATTTTTGTAAAATTAAAAAGTTTCAATACTTTTTGTATAAATATATGTATATACGTACATACATATATATTAGCGCATTTATACCATTTTTACATCAACACAGACACACATAAGGGGTTAATTTTTCACAGTGTTTCGCAATTTAAAAAGTAAACTTATATTTTACATTATCTGACAAAACTCGTACTGCTCATTACTGTGACTTCCGAATAATAATTTATACGATCGAAATGGTAATTCTCAATTCGCATATCTTTTGTCTCTTTTCCCACGTTTCAAAAATTATTTCATAAATACACATAAGAAACAGAAATCAGATGCAAAATCTGTATTTTGTGTACGAAAGCTCGAATAAAGAGTATCGAACTACTCTCTTACAGAACATGTTTATTCTTATATAAGAATAATTTCCATTATATTTATATAATTGACAGAACGTGGAGTACGTGTTTTGCACAACGTATCTGTATTAATTCAATGTATATTCTAATATAACATTAAACTCTAGATAGCGAGTATTGTGAGCATATGACAACTTGTGTGTAAAATACAAGATAGATCGGGAAACACAGTTTCAATAACGCTGAATACAGCTGAAAAAGAAGTAATTTCTCGTGCAAAAATATAATTAAAATGTAAAACTTGTTCACATAAAGCATTACTTCGGAAAATCAATAACATATTTAAATTTATTTAAGCTTCATTTATTTAAGCTCTCTACTAATATATTATATCTCGTAAAATATATATTTTTTAACAAAAAAGAATGTTGCGCCTTTTTGTAGTTATTATGGAGATAAATTGGATAATACACATATTGCAACATAATTGTTAGAACTTATATTGTAGCTTAAAAAGAATAAACATTAATTTTTCGAATTTTAAAGTCACTCTTTTTGAAAACAAAGCTTTGTAGAAACAATTTATCTCTTCCACTTTTTCAATTAATTTTTGCACAAGAGTAATTTCTCCTTTTCGCGAGTTGTATTCCATTTTTTCCACACAATTCTGTATATTAATATACAAAGTAAACTAGATATGTACGTACATTATGAAAATTGATGCATATGTACATAGCGCAATGTCAAATTATATAACACATCCTAATATACATTATTCTAAAACTGTACAATAAAAATACGTTACATTTTCTATAATATGTAGAACATTCGTAGAAAAACGTAACCATGATGTATTTTAGCTTCAAAACATCTTTGATATTGTCTTTGATGTGTTATACTAGCTTACAACTATTATGTTCTAGAAGAACGCGACTTAGAAATCAGTGGTATTTTGTAAAATTTGACTCGATATATTTGCAAAAATTAGCAATTCCTATTTAGCACTTTACTATTGATAAATAATCGAATAATTTATAAAAATCTATATAAGTCCGATATAATCAATAAAACGAGATATTTGAATATATCGCCATCGTTTAATTTTTTTTTATACTTTGTTTTCACCAAGGTGCCCTTGTTGTTTTTACTATGTCTTTATCATACATGTACATGGAAACGATTATATATATAATATACAAGAACAATATCCTTTCCATATTTTTCTTACATTTCTCTTTGATAACTTATCATTATCATTCTACGACTTAATTTTGATAAAATCTCTTATGAAATAATAATTGTGGCAACAGTGGGACCAGCACTGTCAAATCGTAATATAAGCACAAGATAGAAAAAAATCTTTAATTGCAAAACTTTTTTTTTGACATACAAAAAGATTCAATAAATAATTTGTCTCACCACGACATGATAAAATGCATTTAAAATTATACAATATTTATCTATGGTTAATATTACGTGCCCCCAAATGACATTAATTTGTTACTAAAAACTTGAACATTTTAGCTCATGGAAATATTTTTCCTATCAATATATGTGTGCGTATGTATGTATGTGCGTGCATGTGTGTATAATTATTTAAAATTATTTTTTATAACACACATACACACACATTCACACACAATGCTAAAACAGTGCTTGTACTCAAGGCTCTTGGCTCTTCGCCTCTGATGTCACAATCTGACATGGCCGCGGCCAGAGATGGCCATAACTAGTTACATTCGTAATTAGTTACGCAAAAGTTACTAGTTAAAATAATATATCGAGTAATTAAATTTTCATTGTTACTCGTTACACATGTAACGAGATGCCAATATTGACATATAAATAGTAATAATAATAATAATATTATAATGTAATATGTAAAATATAATAATCATTTTCTTTATTTATAATTATGTAAAGTATTGAGTTTTGTAAAGTATTAAGTAACGAAAAAAAATTCGTTACTCGTTACATTTGTAACAACAAAATTAATTTTATTATTCGTTACATTTGTAACAAGTAACAAAATTAATTTTGTTACTTGATACAATTGTAACGCATTATAAATTTTTCTTCATTATGCGTTACAAATGTATCAAGTAACAAAATTAATTTCGTTACTTGTTACAAATATAACGAGTAACAGTGGCATCTCGTTACATATATAACGAAGTAACAATTAAAAATTTAGTTACTCTATACATTTTTAACTAGTAATAAGTAAAGTGCGATAGACATCTGGCCTCGCGGCGAGGAACCAGGAGTCTGAAAAAATTATTGTACACAATTCTGTGTTCAAACAAGTGCACAGTGAAAATTCGCATATACAGGAGGCGGGAAAAAAAATATTTTGCACGAATATAAGCACATACGCGTACAACATATACACACACATTTTCGTCCACTATCCGACGCGCAAATCGATGTAACGTTATATTACGCGAGCGCGGACGCCGGTAGGGAGCTGTGCTTGGGTTTCGTCTTGTTCAGAAAGACCTTGATGCACCCGTTAAAGTCGGCGCTCACGAGGACGTGGCCGCCGCAGCCCTTGGTGCGTTGCTCGACGACAGGGTCCACAGGGACGACACCTATACTGCTGGAACTGTCCACGCTCTTCGCCTCCTCCTTGCTCTCCCACTGTTCCCTCGCCTCGATCTGCCTGATAATGCTATCCGGATTTGGCGCGAAGACGGCGCACGTGACCACGGCGTTGTGCGCCTTTATACCCTCCCAGAAGTCATTCCGGTCTCTGCGAACGCTCGAGAACTTGGAATAGTCGTGGTGAGTCTTCCAGATGTAAATGCATTGGTTCTCGGAGCCGCTGACGATATACTGGCCGTCCGGGCTGAAGCTCGCCTTGATCTGACTGCTGATGTTGACATAACCCTTGTACTTGCAAGAGAGATTCAGGTCCCTTAAGTCGTACAGACGTATACGACTGTCGTTCGAGGTGACCAGGATCTTGTCCTCCCCCGGCATCGGTTCGATCCCGCTGATCTTGCGGCCGGTCGAATTCTTCCCCCTCGTCGAGCGCACGTGTATCTGTGTGTGGTATTTGAGCTGATCCGTGTTGTAGAATATACATCTACCGTCGTAGGAGCCTACGACCGCGAATTTCCCGTTCTGGCAGAAGTTCGCTGCGGTGATCAGCTTCGTCTGCCCGTCCACCTCGTTCCACACAGCCACCTTCTTGTCCGGGATGTTCCACAGACGCAGTTTACCGTCTAGCGAGCCCGAGAGGAAGTACCGATCGTCCCGCGGATGGAACACTATCGCGGTGACGAAGTCAATGTGCTGGAAGCAGCAAAGACACTCCTTCCGAGATATGTGCCAGAGCCGCACGGTCTTGTCCATAGACGAGGAGAGAACGAAGTAGTTCTTGGACCAGGAGACGTCGAGCAGGTCTGAAGTGTGGCCGGTGTACGTGCAGAACGGCTTCGGCATAAACGGGCTCTTCGTGCCCTCGATCTCGCTGAACGCGCTGGCGACGACGCTGGGATCCTCCATAGACTGCTGCGAGACTAGGGACTCCTGCGACGGAGTGGGGCTGACCTTCTCCGCGTTGTACTTGGTGCGCATGTCCTGAAAGTAGGTGAAGGCGTCCCGCAGGACCCAGATTCTCAGGACTCGATCCTGTCCCGCGGTGGCCAGCAGTCGACCGCAGGCGGAGAACTTCATGCACCAGACGGGTCCGACGTGCTCCCCGCTGAGATCCTGAACGTGCTGGAGACAGCTAAACTCATACGGGCCCTTGTGACTGTTCGACGCTTTTAGCTTGATGTACAGCTGCTCGCCGGGATAGACCTCGTCCACGATGTCCATTACGTCTTCCTTGTGTCTCGCGTGCGAAACCTCCTGCGCGATGGACTTCGCCTTGTTCATGGTCTTCTTCACGGTAGAGCCCAGAAATCGCTTCAGCTTCTGCGTCCGCTTGCGTACCCTGTCCACGGACACGTCCTCGTCCGGGGGTATGCTGGACATTTTACTATCTACGCTCTCCTCGTCGCTCTCCTTCTCCTTCTCCAGACTAGAATTGCTTATATATTTAGACTTGGTTAGTCTCATAATGTGCAACGACAAAGGATTAATACACTGCGGTAATTTATCTTCTGCTATACTTAATGGCACCTGTTCCCCTGTATCTAAATTCGTTACAGGCACTTGTTCCAAAATTTCCTGCAAGAAAAAACAGATGTGAGAATATACCTTAATATATACAGGATGGATAAAATAAAACGTTACTAATTTTTATCTCCAAAAGTATTGTTTCCAGAGAAAAATCTTAGTGATACCGACTTTTCCCCTAAAGGGTGATTTTCAACGTCATTTAAAGGTTATTTGTTTTTTTTTTATATGGAACCACCATATTTTTTACATACATCGATTCTTCGCTATATTTTGCATAAAAAGTTAGAAGGATAGAATGGTCAAAAAGTAAATAGTTTACGAGATATTTCATACTTAAGTTTAATAAACTTGTAACTTTTTACACAGAATTTTGCGAGGAATCGATTTATGTAAAAAAAAAAAAAAAATATAGTGGTTCCGTTTAAAATAACATAATGACCTTCAAATGACTTTCAAATAACCTTCAAATAACCTTGAAAATCACTCTTTAGGAAAAAGTCAGTAACGCCAATTTCCTGCGACTTTTATTTGAAACATTTTTTTCTCTAGAAACAATATTTTTAGAAATAAAAATTTGTAATGACGCTTTATCTTGTCCAGCCTGTATTATATTTTATCTTATTAATATGCTTGAAATGATTTATTGAGATGGCGATTAACGAACCATATCGGTAAGACGCTTGCCGGAATCTGTCCTAGTTCTCACGAACATATTCAATTGTTTAACCAGATCTTGATCACCGGCGGATTTACGTCTCTCCCTGGAACTTTGTGGACTCATGCTCGAGAGCTTGTGCGGACCCAAAGAATAACGGCCAATACTGTTGCTCGATGCTGATCCTAATGGACTGCTGGACTTTTCGCTCGATCGACTAAGCAGTTCTGCTTTCATTCTTTCTACCCTCTCCAGTTCCTCGGAAGATGGACCTTCTGCTTTCAATTTATCTTCATCCTGTAATAATATATATAAAATAAAAAAATTACCTTAATAATATACGGGGTGTCCCATTTTATTTTTGACAGTCAAATATTTCGATATTATTAACAGATAATTTGTTTAAAAAAAACTATGTAATTTGCAACATCCAACTACTTTTCCTTATTAAAAGCAACTTTATATTTTCTTTATACTAATTGATTGATCTCATTGTTCCATGTATAAAAGTAAGATAAAATTATCGAAAACTGAATATTTTACAAGATATTTTACATTTTATATTCAATAAAATAAATTATATTTAAGAATTATTTACAGAGTATTTACCTGCGGCTTAACTACATACTGTCCTTTTGTTGCGGATCGTATGTCAAGTGAGTGTTCGAATTCTCTAGTAATCGATTCTATGGTGCTAGCTGGACTTGGAAGCGGCGATGCGGGTACAAGCTTTTCCGCAGAAGGCTAAAATTAATTATATTCAGCCATTGATTAAATTAAATCTCATTAATAATCCGCATTAAAGTAAAAGATAATTGTAAGAAATCTTACAGTTAGATCGGTAGGTGTATGAGCCTTCGTTTTCTTCTTACGACGTGGTGGAGCAACGGGTACACCGGAAATCGCAACATCCTCTGCCAATTTCCCGTTATTCTTCGTACTCGCAATGACATCCGGCTCTTGAAGCATAACAGCCTTGTCACCTTGTGAGTGAGAGGCATAATTGGATCTGCCGTTGATGGAGGAGTCCTGCAGGACGTTATCTCCCGATAACGTAAGGACGCTGGAAGATTGGGACACCTTACCGGAGGCTGTGTCCTCGTCTTTGCTCGGGATGCTAGGAACGGAGGAGGACGTTTGAGCTTCGCGAGTTAGGGCGGCGGGAGGGCACTGAGATGCACCAGGTGCAAGCACGCCGGAAGTATTATCCGCGACACCTGCCAGAATTCGACCTACTCGGCCTAGAGAGGTCATACTTTGTAAACTGAGGGTGTCATGTTCTATGATTCTAAATGGATGGCTCGTTTTCGAAGGGGTAGGATAAACGCCCTCGATGGAAGATGTCTGACTATCTGGAGGAGAATTGTTGATCGGAATATCGTCGTCTTCTGTTTGCATACGTTGCCGGAGTTCGCGAAATCTCTTCCTTCCCACGATTTTATCCGTGGTTGATTCCGCACCATTTTCGACCTAAAATTTTATTTATTAAATTAAGTTTGTACCTTTTTTTAGGGTTTTAGATACATAAAGATAATAAAACCTCATAATGGTATATAAAATGCAACTTTAAAAAGTGTTAAATATAATTTTTGTTTCTCATTTTTTTGAAAAATTCGAGCTACATGATATATTCCTTATATATAATTATATGTATATTTGTATATATATATATATATGTATATATATATATATGTATATATATATATATATATATATATATATATATATTACATATAAATACAAGGTGTCCCACAGAAATGGCTGAAACTTTTTTCATTATTTTTCAATAAAATAAACTGACACATACAACCATTTTATTTATCCATTAAAAACTGTAAATTTTCCTCTTTTCAATACAATTTTTATTTTCTCAATAACTGCATGCAAAAAATGACAGCTGATTAGTTTCAGCAATTTCCTATGGGACATCCTGCATATACATTATTATTGTTTACATATTATATACAAATTTATAATATACTTACAAGTTTATCTTTATTTTGCTCACAATCAGTAGATACACTCTTTAGCTCGATGGTTGATTTAGGTACAGCAGGTTTCACAAAAACATTGTCATCGACTTGTTTGCAAACTTCTAACGTCTTATCAACTTGAGGTTCGACACTGGCTGGTGGACTGGAGGTGCACTCATGTTGTTTAGATTTTCTAAACACACACATAAATTTAATAAATTAATTATACAATATATATGTGTACCTAATTATATATTTTAGATAAGAAAATCTATTTTATCTTTATCTTACAACAAATCCATGTAAATAAAATTTAATTGTATCTAACAAGGATAATATGCATAAAAATACAGATTTATAAATGATTTTAACAAATTTATACTTTTATTACATCAATAAGGGAAAGTATGCTAAATAAAAAGAAATTCAAATTTAAAAAATTTATAAAAAAATTTATTTAGTAAATCATATCAGTACAATGAATAAGAAAAGTTATTGGTACGTTTGACTAAACTTCCAGTGCTTTGTTAAATTTTTGAATAAAAAATAATCTTAAAACATTTTGCTAATTTTTTTAACGCTACCATATACAAAATTAAATAAGATGAAAAAATGTGTTAAATAAATAATAAACTGAATCGTTTAGCTTTCTCAATGTAATAGCTTAGGCATGGAGTATCAAGTTATTACATGAAAATCAAACAAAATAAATTTATAAATGTTATTCATTAATGGATCGCTTGAGAAGAAAACAAACATTGCAGCATTTTAATAAAACCGTGCTGCGATACAGCATTAACACCTTAAAATATTTAACTCTATTAAGGAACGACATGATTGAACATACTTTCCCCTGTATAAAAATTAAATTATATATTAAAAATTATCTAAATTATACAAATATATTATATATTAAAATTAATAATATATTAAATATTAAATTAATAATACACACATATAATATATTAAATTATATAAAATTGAAATCACACAAAATTACATTTAAAAGTGAATTTTTCTTATAAAAAATAAAAAAATTCTAACTCTCTCCTCGTCTCTCCTGCAACAGAGAAACTTTGATTTATTATATCGTTATGGATAAAAAAAACACGGTTAGAACGGCAATATAATAAAATCACAAAACGCAAATACGATGAATCGGCTATACTCGAGATCGTTAATTTGCATAGGATCGCGCAATCGAGGAAAAATTACCGCGATGCGCGATGAAGCGAATCGTCCTCCGCGTCGAAGAACTCCTCGGAATCGCTGCTGCCCGACATCGTCGTAAGTGGACGATCATCCGCGAGGACGACAGCCCCGTCCTAGCATCGGTCTCTTCTTCGCTGATGACGTTTCGCGCGTCACGCGAGCGGGATGACAGATGACGCCGAAGGGAGACGATTACGCGAGTGCGAGCTATATAGAATCATATTTCGGAGTCGCGGAACTTCTTGCGGGGGAGCACTTTTAATAAGGGACACCTCTCTGACAAAACGTTTTCGCGAGTGCCCGCAAAACAGCATGCACCAATCAGTCACCAGTGGACTCTGCACCACAGACATGTATTATATACATAGATGGGAGTCTTCGCCTTTAAATTAGGATCTATAATAAGGGCCTACGCGTTCACAATCGACAGAAAAATTAGAATTTATATCTGAAAAAAACTAAAATCAGGTAAAATTTACCAATAAGTTGGAAAATAGGCTCTTATAGACATAAATATGTGTTGGAAATAAATATGCATACATTTTAAGAAAGAAGATTCATCTGCATAATTAGTTTAACCTTGACATAAGCTTGTTAAGGGTCGGCAGGCGACATGGTGGAGACGCCTATCGGCCGGCCGGGAATTACGGATTCTTATTTTCCAGATATTAGCGAAAATATTGAATGAATCTTATTAAATTTAGGATATTCTTAATCAGTAAGCTCATTTGTAGTCCTCTAAAGAGCTATTTTATGAAAAAAAGATAAAAATAAAAATTTTTAATAAACTTGGGGGAATGCACAGCTAGGAACGGGTAAGGTTGGGTTAGCCGCGAGTCCGTATTTTATTTATTATAAATTTTTAAGAGCGAAAATGTAAAATCCGGCCTTTTAGAGGACTGCTTTATTATATAAAGAATATATTAAAAAAAAATTCACGAAGTTATGTCACTTATTTTATGAAATATCTGGACGATAAGATTCTCACTAGATTCATAAGGAGCAGGGGAAATTTCTGTGGTAACATGCTGACTGCTTGACAAGGAGAGAGCATCATTCCATCTTTGTCTCTCTTACATCGCATATGTAGTAGCGTCCATGTAGGTACAAACACTAATACGTGAGCACACGGATGCAAATATTGAGAGATAATGTCAGCAAAAAGGCTATCATATTATTTTTATTTTTTTGTATATGTATGCATATGTAAATAAAGAACAAAAATAAAAACTATTTTAAGATGACATTTTATAATTAATTTTCTATATGTATTTGCATTTTATTAATATGTATTACATTTTTGATATGTTTTTAATTTATAATTTATATAAACATAAGTATGAAATAAAAATTGAAATAGTTCTGAAAATAAGTATATTAATGATAAAATTATTCAAAACAATAAAAAAATTAAATTTAATATTTTTTAGTGTTTGTACCTACATGGACGCTACTACATATGCGATGTAAGAGAGACAAAGATGAAATGATGCTCTCTCCTTGTCAAGCAGTATTAAAAGCCATATTAAAAGCTCTAGCTTCATTCAATTAATAATCCAATATAATAATCAACAATTATTTTTATATAATATATAGTATTTTTAAATATTTTTAAATATTTAAAAATATTTTTTTTAAGATTAATTGAGGAAAAGAATATTTTAAATATAAAAAAATATTTTAAATATTTTTTTCAATTAATTTTTAAAACAAATTTTTAAAATATTTTTATATATTCAAATATTTATTATATTATATAAAAATTATTGTGAATTATACTCATTGGAGTAATAATTATTGATTGAAGCTTGTTATGGCACAAACTGAACATCTTGTACATTGTCTGTATAATATTTTACTTATTTATAAAATGTTTTTTATAAATAAATGAAATATTATATATATATAATATATAAGATTATTGATGTTACATTGTATAACTCTCATTTCTTCCTCTCTGCTACATAAGTACTTATGACGTGAAAGAACTTACGAGTAACGTATGATGGCTCAATGCAAGAATATTTAATCACGTAAAAAACTTGAGTTCAAATATATCAATATCAATTTTTTTATAATATATTGGAATATAGAAAATCATAGAAATATATTTTTTATATAGGCGATAAACTTAAAAATTTGATATTGAAAATATTTTAATCATTTTACAACTACACATACTATAAATATATAAATGCAAAATAATTCCGTAAATAAATTTCAAGTAATAAATCAATTGCACACATGCACACAGCTGGTATGTAGATTTTTATTAAATTTATTTTCTGAATTATTTTACACTTATATATAGTGTATGTAGTAAAAATATTTTCAATATATTAAAAAATTTTTAAATCGCCGAAATATATTTTTTTATCATTTTTCTATATTCTAATATATATATATATATATTATAAAAAAATTGATATTGATATATTTGAACTCTAATTTATATACTGGATGATATACTGAACATCCTTGCATTGATTATACATTACTCAACGTTCTTTCACGTTATAAGTATTTGGAGCAAATTATACAATAGCATCAATAATCAAAAAGAAATCAAGAATATAATCAACATATCCCTTATATAATATATATATATATATATATATATATATATATATATATGTTATATATATATACGTTATGCACATATGTGCATAACCATATATACTTCCAAAAAGTGGGTGCTTATTAGTTTTGCTACGTTACTGCTTTCTGCTACGGAAGGCCAGAAAGCATTTTCAGGCGGCATCTCGCGTATACCGGCACGGTAGATGAACAAGGAGAACACGTGATTATCGGTCCTTGTCTCTCTTACGTGCGTCCGCGTGAGCGATGCAGTTGGTGTATGTACGTGTACAGACATACACCACTACATAAAACCCGAGAATTGGTTTCTCGGCGTTGGCAACACTGAAACCGGAGTTTCGCGTTGTCACCGCACGAGGTCTCCAATATCAATTCGGAGTTTGCCTGGGCACAGATTAATAGACAGATCGCCAAAGGTCTGGATGAAGGAGAGACCAGCATTTCTCACTGATTTCAGCGCCATATCGTAGTAGTGGTCAATGCAGTAACTATTAATACGTTCCCAAGATAAGAGCGTCTCATGCTCATGAACTCGTCCGGCGGCATGTACGAGATTTATCTTTTCGTAGCGTTCGCGTATTTCGGAAAGGACAGAATTTTATGATGTTATAAATAAATAAATAAATAAATAAATAAAATATTAACCTGACCTATTATAATTATTTTTTAATAAATGTTTCATTATTATTATCATCTAAGTCTAAGTCGTTTAATTAATTTTTAGTTTTTTAATAATTAATTTAATTTATTCTAATCATTTTAATATGTGAAAAATACTAATACGTATACGTTTTATAATGAATTAATATATTTCGAGAGTCGAATTATATATTTTTAATAATATAAAAGTGTTCAAAAATTATATTTGACTTTTAATTTTAATTATTTTAGCAAAGAGTTCCGAAATCTCTTACACACATAATAGGGATTTTGTTCATCCATATAATTCGCAATTAAGTATATATGTTAATTATTAATTTTAATAAAATACAAAATTAAAATTAAAGGTCAAATATAATTTTTGAACATAAATATATTTAATTCGTTATAAAACGTATACCCGTGATAGTATTTTTCTCGTACAAAAATAACTAGAACAAATTAAATTACTCATAAAAAAATAAAAAAATAATTAAATAATTTATATTATATATGATAATAATAAAACATTTTATAAAAAAAACAGATTCAATAAATATAAGTATATATATAACATGTACTTATATTTATTGAATCTGTTTTTTAATAAAATGTTTTATAAGCTTAGAAAACTTGACTTTGACGTAACTAGCAAATTTTATTTAATTATTTCACGACGGTTTGACGTAATAAAATGTTTTATTATTATTATATAAAATATAAGTTTAAATTCTTTAATTAATTTTTAATCTTTTATGATTAATTTAATTTACTCTAATTATTTTTGTACGAGAAAAATACTATCATGGGTATACGTTTTATAATTAATTTAATATATTTGTGTTTAAAAATTATATTTGACCTTTAATTTTAATTTTTATTTTATTAAAATTAATAATTAACATATATACTTAATTGCGAATTATATGGATGAAAAAAATCCCCATTATGTGTGTAAGAGATTTCGGAACTCTTTGCTATAAAATAATTAAAATTAAAAGTCAAATATAATTTTTGAACACTTTTATATTATTAAGAATATATAATTCGGTTCCCGAAATATATTAATTCATTATAAAACGTATACGTGATATTTTTCTCATATAAAAATGACTAGAATAAATTAAATTAATTATTAAAAAACTAAAAAGTAATTAAACGACTTAGACTTAGATGATAATAATAATGAAACATTTTATTAAAAAAAGATTCAATAACTAGTAGGTCAGGTTATAATTTTTTATTTATTTATTTATAACATTATGAGCTATTAAGCTCATCATCTCGTTCGCTCTCTGTCTTGCTTTCATTCGGCAAGTCACAAACGATATATGATACTCGTATGTTCCTACTTCAACTCTCGAGAATCTGAAACAAACGAAACTCGTGTCCAATATACAGGGTGTCCGGTAACTAACAGACCAATGATTACAAATGGATTCTTTGGTCAATTTGGGAACGATTTTTCCTCAGCGAAAATGTCGAAAAAGGTCATCATTTTTTACAACTTTCCAATCTTTGTCATTATGTATCTTTATAACTAAGCCTTAAATTAAAATTTTATTATAGTAAACTCTACCTGAAATTAACTGAAGAATGTAATTATGTTAGACTTTTAACTCCAAAACGTTTAGTTTTCAAAAAACCTATTTTTTTCAATCGCTTATAACTCGAAAATTATTGACTTCTCAACATTTTTGCTAAGGAAAAATCGTCTCCAAATTGGCCAGAGAATCCGCCCTTAATCATTGGTCCGTTAGTTACCGGACACCTTGTATATATTATATAAAAGTGTATAGCACGTCAGAAGCTTGTGAGCTTACAGCGATAAGTAAAAACAATTGCGTATTTATTTCATTGCGTTTATCTGTTTAAACGCGCGCTTTAATTTTTCCAACGTTTTTGCCTGTTTATATTTTAAAGGTCCTCTCTTCTAAAAATCTTGTTTTAAAGATCCTCTCCGCGAGCAAAATTCGAAAACATAAATTATTTAATATTTTTACTTTATTATTTGTAAATCCTCGGTAATTTCAAAATTTTTCTATTTGAAAATTATTAATTTTCTATTGCCAATTAATTTTATCACAGACTTTACTCTT